ACACTGTGAATTTGTTTATTATTATTATTATTATTATTATTATTATTATTATTATTGTAATATTTACAAAATACCACAGTTTTGTCCAGTTTTATTTTGTTGTATTTATCTGCGACACCTTAATGGCTGGTCCGTGAAAATATTGTCAGACATTAAACCGGTCCGTGGTGCAAAAAAGGTTGGGGACCGCTGCTCTACAGCCTCCAAGTGGTGGCACATGAATTAGCCAAAGAGCAGAACAAGGAGTACTGCTTACAGCTGCAGAACAGGAAGGTAAAGCTGGAGTCTATCCAACCTTTCTAGAAAGTCAGTTTATTGATAGTCATCACATCACAGCAGTCTGGTCTACCTGCAGATGGGGAGACACAAGACAGGAAGGGTTGAGTCTAGTGGTTCAATTGCAAGTGAACTTTCAAAATGATGGCATTGTTTACCAGTGAGACGACTGCACTCGTGTACTGCGGTGGCCTTTATATCTAAAGCGAAGTCTATGTGGGTAACCCTGGAAATACACTTGGTGTGGCTGCTTTGGGTTCCAGCTCTGATGTGGGTGCTGGCACTTATTGCACCCTCACAGGACAATGCTTGCAGTTTCATCAGACGCACCATAGTATTTTAGAAATGTCCCCGAAGTGTCCCTTTGCTCCACAGAGATAATATAGCACTAGATTTAGTTTTTATGGAAGCTGCATCAAGCTGCACACAGACGATTTGGAGGGGACAGGAATCTAGTTAATTTTCACAATAAAAGGCCCCATGCCAACTACTCGCTCTGCTTCTGATACACATTCGGTGAGATTTGTAGTCATCTAAAGAAGTCAGCTAAACTGTAAGTAACTTAAAGATTTGACATCAGCTGTCACCTCGAAGTTCACTTCTGTGGCGTCATTTTACATGAAAATAATAAAAAGCACAGCATAGTTTTTTATTAAAACAGCTCAATTATTAAAAATTTAATTCAGACTCCATAACTCAATCTGACAGCAGGTGTGTACGTTGTCTAGTGCCCTATATTTCAGAGACATTAAGGATACAAAAGTGATTAACAGATTCACATGGCTCTTAATACACATGCAGTATTTACATGTACAGCGTTTAATTGAGCTCATTTTTAGCTGTTTTAGAAAGTTCTCAGATTGTTTGTTTGGTTTTTTTCTCTCCAGATTAAGCAACAAGTAAATTAATCACCATGAACATGCCAAGTAAATACTGTTGTGGTATGAAGAACGTATCTTTATCATCACAGAAACGGCTTACAACTGAAACCTGTTTGTTTGTCCTACAGTAATGAAGATGTCTTTTAATCAGTGAGTGCAGCTGACTTTACCAGCATGTAATTGTGAGATGTTGATCATGAGATGTTTTAACAGCTCATGATCAAACCTAAGCTGTGCTCAGACTCCTGCGTCACACCAGCCCTGTAAACTGCAACTCCTACACACTTGCATCACACTTTTACAAGGGTCATTGTGAGTCAGTGTTGTTCATGTAGTTTATATTCGGTGTTACTGTTTAACATAAAATAACCTTTGTGTTCATTATTTGTGCATTATAATGAATTAATTTGCATAGAGTACATTTTTTATGCATCATGCAAACCCTGCTCGATTACATATAACAAGCAGTCACTGTGTAAACGCAATATATAGATACGATTTTAACATGTTTTAAAAGTCATAATTGCAAAGATGAGCTCTAGAATTTAATCTTAAACCAGATAAATAAACGTTGACCATGTAAGGAATGCACCAAATGCAAAGGCAGACTTTACCATTTGTATGCACGACTGTTGTATACCTGTGATTTAAACAACTTTTAGGCTATGCTTAAAATTCATTACACGTGCACAGGCTTGTAAAGTCACTTCAGCACCATGCAGCCAGACACACACATTCTCACTCACTCTGAAATAAATCGCTCATAGGAAAGGAGGCCTTAAATCTCGTCTGGTGCAGGCTAGTAAACTTTGGCAGGTCTGTAAAGCTCTACTCTTAGAAGGTCTCACACACACACTGCAGATTTACAGCCTGCTGAGCACAGAGCTTTTTTTTGTTTTTTTTCCTGGTCTCCCTTTTGAATCAGCTGTGCCAAAGCAGAACGCTCTGCACATCACACTGTTCATCTGCTGTCAAGCACTACCATCTGCTGTGGTGTTTGCTTCTCCAATTGCCCTTTAAACACCCAGACAAATACACCAGAGGCCTTTTTAAGTTTTAGATTCAGGGCATTTTAGCTGGTACTTTTCACCTAGAATTATTTCATTCAGGGAGTTAGCAGGTGGGTGCATTGGGTGGCTTCAGCAGTTTCCATATGGTTTTGAGGGTGTTGGGGAAAAGATTGAGGTTATGAGTTTGTCTTCATATTAGGATTCATGTGTGTAACCGCTTGGCTTCTCACCACCTCTTATGCATTCTGACATCGCAGACAATGGATGTGGTAGATGGCCGCCGTGCCCCCTTCCCTCCACATCGTTACAGCAGCAGCGGGGACACACGTGACACAGACACACAGGCTCCTTCGAGTGGTGAATCCAGCCCATCGCCCCGTCCCTGCAGCTCTGATCACCTGCACTCACCTGATGGGAGCCCCTGTTATGCAGAGGAAATTGACAAAGGTGTGTCTTCACTAGTGAACAGATGTAGCATGTTTGCTATATTCAAAGTTATATAAATCTTTGTGGTTTGAGGTAAATGTGTGAAATCTGATGAATATGCTGAGTAAAGGATATCTAGACTCTATGCCACCCTCATGGAGTCTGTTTCTGATAGTTTGGTCAACGTTATGCACATGACTAGCCTGATCCAGGTCATTTTGCTGGGCTTATACAAAGGAGCAGGGCTGGGTTGAAGGCCATGTTATGG